CTGAAGCTAGCAGGAGAGTTGGGTGAACTGTTACTCCCATCAGCCCCTGATGACAACCTAAAAGAACCCTTAGTAGAAAATCAACAACTTTGTTATTAAAACAAAAGTCGTTTAAAACTATATAGATGTCATTCAATATTCAGTTTCACTGCCAAATGACAATTAGTCATTTTGTTACTTTTTTCTAGCCTGTCCTGCAATGCTATCAACCTGTTAAGTGGAATACACTTGCTGCTCGACTGGCAAAAACCTTAAACAAAAGTCATCTCTATGCATGTCCAGATGTCATATCTGATTTAGCAAAGAGCAATCCCCCCAAAGGAATGGCCATTAAGAATATTTCAAGAGTGATTTTTGAGACTTAAAGATACTCAAGGATCAGGAATTTTTGAGTTATACCACAGCTGAGTTAAACATGCTCACTCAGCAAGCCAAATGCCATATTCCATATGTATCAGAAAATGCAGACACATCACATCCTTGCATTGTTACAAAACTCTTAAGAAAAAAAGACCTACAGTAGGGCATTTTCCAAGGAGATTTAACCAAATTTGACATTAAACAATTCTTCATTTTCTGGCCTTTTAAAAAATGAAACAAAATATACAAATTACCTATGTTTATCCTAGTGATTCTTCAACTTAACTGGTAAGAAATGAGAACCCAAGTGTGATCAGTTTGACCTTAGTGTACAGGGGACTGTACTTTTTCAACAGGTTGCTTGGGGGAAGACGATGGATCAGTGGGGGGTGGGGGGGGGAGGATACTAGTCACCAACTCTTCCAGAAATAGCAATCAAATTGGATTTTTTTCCAAACCAGCTTTTAGGTAAATCATTATACTCAGAGACACTGAGAGATTTGATCCACAGATTTTTCTCCTAATAGAGTAGCAACTGCTTTGTTGGAACTGACTCCATCAATCCAATCCCCTCAGTAGGAGCCACTGAAGGTATATCACAAAGGGAGAAACAACAATGGCTTGGGATATGAATTTGAATTTCTACAATGTACATGTGGGGAATGGGAGGGAAATGCTGCACACAGCAATAGTTACAGGTATGGTTTGTATATAAACCATGCTATTTATAAAATCAGAATCAACATTCATTTTTAAGGAGACAATTATTGATTCAATTTGGAAAATTTTCTCCCTTCTCTTGTTGCTGTCATTTCTTGTTCAATCAAGTCCTGCCCCGCTCAGCACTCAGGTGGAAGGGAACTTCTTCAGCTTCTGTCCTCCCTTACTGCTAACAAAGTAATAACAACTGGTGGCATAGCATGGCTGATCATAACCGTCCCAATGACAAGCTCTACTTTCTGGAATTTCTAACTCAGACCCAGCCAGACATCATAATGCCTGATGCAGATAACTAAGGGAAAATGTTTAAGATGCTAAAGGGGGAGACACTTTGTCCTGCCCCTACTCCCCAAGTGTGAACAGCTTCTTCCTCTGTAGAGATGAAATTGTACCAAAACTCAGGAGTTACAAAGGAAACTCTTCTTCTTTTTCTCTACTGGTCCCATCCTTATGAACTCTTGCACAGACTTCTGAGTATTTACAGAACACACTTCAGCCCTCTCCTTTGAGACCCAGGAGAGCAGCACCATTTTCCCTCTGACTGGTCATCTACTTCAGAAGCCAATAATCCTTCCCCTCTGGACTGTGCTCCATCCAGTTCTTCCTTCCCTTTCTTTACAGCCTTTCTGTTGTCAAAGTTTTCTTTGCAAATTTGGCAAAACGGCAGGCATATCAATGCTAGCATGTCTTAGTTTGGTCATGGGGCCTCTATCTTTCAGGGTAGAAAATTTCTAAGATCAATGTAAACAGCCTCTTTAAACCAAGTCATCTGGGCAATTTTGTATCGTTTGTATTTAAGGAGAGTCCTGTTTTGGCCACACTTACTCAGAAAAAAACCACTCATCTATTCAAGTAGTTTCTTAAAATAAAAGGCTACAATAGGCTCTTTGCTGGAGTATACAGTGTGTGTGCGTGGGGGGGGGGATTAAATTTCTATTTCTAATTTGCATTAACAGTTAATTAGGACTAGATATCAACCAGAAAATTGAGGTTTTTTACTTTATGCTCTTTGTGAACTGCAAACGTGATCAAATGCTTGACTGGTAAAGTTTAGCACTAACAAGTGCTAAATAGTTTCTTAGAACAAAAGAATCCAGCACCTCATTTTATTAGACCTCATCTAGTGCCATAGAATGAAAAGTTTGGTTTCAATGTGCTCAGTAGAATAATACCAATATTTAGGGAATTATTTAGGTTCAGTTGGCATGTACTCTCAATTGACTAAAACATTTTCACTGAACACCAAATGATCTTAAGCAGTACCTTTGAGTTTATTTCAGTAATGGTAAGTCCATTTATGTAAACTCTTCTTGGCTGACTCAGACGACAGGAAATTTAAAAAGAGCAAAAATCTTAACAGAACTGGAGATGTGGACTCCCAATTTGAGTTGCTTTTTTTTTAATATTTTTTTGAGACAGCACATTTTTAATTTTCATTATTGTCAGAGGCTTATTAGCTCCACTAAATAAAGAGTTCAACAAATAAAATGTAAACAGACCCTAACACACTGAATGTGCCCGATACCACCTCATCTCAGAAGCTAAGTAGGGTCAGGCCGGGTTAATACTTGGATAGGAGTTATTTTCAAGCTACACATGACCACATGTACTACCTCTTGCTCAGTAGTCAATTGGAAAAGACAAGGTATAATTTTCCAGGCTGCTCTAGAAACATCTGAGGGTGTTAATTTTCATGGTCACTGACCTTATATATTTCTTTCATAAAAGGTCCAAGGTACCTTTGTTCTCTCCATTTGGAGTTGCTCAATTTTTACCTCCAGGTTCAGGAAAAAGGACACTGAAGACTACTATCAAGGAGGTCAAAGTCTCTCCTTCTCCCATCCTTCCTCCCCAGAGTCAGACATCCAGCAACTTTCTTTCATGTGAATGGCCTTATTCTCTCCCCCACCCAGCATAACTGTTTCCTCTAACAACAGAAGCCATCTGGTTATGCAGCCAAGTGCAGCCAGCTGACTCTTCTTCACTCACCGGCAGAGTGGGCAGGCATCGTCCTATTCCTCGGCACCCTTGCCACCACTGCAAGACCCGCCGGGCTCTGGGCCCCCAGCCTTTCTCCATATTTGAGCTGTTTCTAGTTGGAGGTTGCCTTCTATTCTGGGTGGCCTTATATTTGGAACAACATGGTACAATCACTCAGAAAAATACTGTTTCCCAAGTCTCAATAAAGCAGATAGAACAAGAAGCTTAATGAAATGAACCACAATGACCACAATGGCAAGCTGTAACATGCACCTGTAGCTAGGGGAAAAATAAAAACAACCCACAATCCTGTAGATTAGAGCTAATATTGACTCTTTTTCAGTTTTTGGCAAAATATGACTATATTCTCAAGCTATCAAAAAGTGTACTTGACAAAATTACCAAAAAAAGTGAAGTAGTTTAAACAAATTTAATTCATGGACTTTACCTGTGAGAAAGAGAATTACCATGGTCTTCCAAGTATTTAAACTGTATAACTTCCGAATTTAACAGAAACAATTTGAAATAGAATTTTGAACATATGCCCTTTTTTTTTAAGAAATGCAAGTTGGGTGTATATTTATATATATATATATTAAATATATATAAAGTATATATATATAATCTCCAAGAATACTGAGAAAAATGATACTGCATCAAATTCTCAACTAAATTTCTACACTTCAGTATGAAATGAACTAATTATTATGGAAATTTTAAAAAATGGTCCCAAAATTCCAGTGACTAAATGTAGAGGTTAATTTTAAGAGACTGTAAATGAAAACATAATGTTTTAGTTATGGCTGATTTATTTTCCTGGAAGTTAGTTCTCTACTGTAAATACCACTGGTCTAATTTTCAGTCTTCTGTAACTTATGTAGGCTAACCAATAAAGAAAATGCACTATATCCTGCATACAAATGAGAAGCAATGATGTCTAGCTGCTGATACCTATCAAACTCTTCTGCATCTGTGGAATCAGCACCATTTACCTATTAAATAAATAAATAAGACATACTCTACTTTTATAAACATACAAAATCATACATTTACATTTGGGCTATGATGAAAATTGAAACAATGCAAAACTAATTTCAACATTTCCCTATTGGTAATTATTTTACAAGTGTCTAGTCTATTTCCATAATCAAGAGTTGTATCCAACAGCTTATAATATAGTGTATAGATAGATACAGGTGGCTTAAAATTCACCTCTCTCCAGCATCTTCACCTTTGCATTTGAGTTATGCAAATTGTTATAGTAACTTTTATAAATCAGCAGATTTTTCATCTAGATTGGGTTCTTTTCCATGATTTATGCAGCTCTCTGACCTTATGTGTTTCAGATTCAACAACCAGCACAGGAATTCCTACTTCCATTTCTTCATGAATCTGTGATAAGATCCTAATGCTCCATTGTAACAAAATTGACTACCATACCCCGAAAATCTAAGGTAGAAAACAGATTTATGCTATGACAGAGTAAAATGATTATTAATTCATGAATTTAACAACATCGGTACAAGATGAAGCTATTGTGATGGCCTTTTGCTATTTCATGTTTTAGTTATAGTTTTTAGTAAAATTCACACTGGAAGTTTATATTTTATTTTCCATACAGAACGACATTTTTAAAAAGTAACGAGAACATCCTGGGTTGTTTTTTTTTTTTTTTTGCTTTGGCACATGAAGTAAAATAAAAGCAAAAAATAATCTTGTGTTTTAACTTTTGAGATTTTCAAAATATGTTCTTTTTGTAATAAAGTGAATATAGTACTTCTTTACCAAGAACAACTCTACATTCTTTCAATATTCCCACTATTATAAATTCTGATGAGATTCATAGGTATTTCTTTCCAAAAAAGAAAAAGACACTATTCACGACCATAACATAATATTTCTCTTCACAAGGGTATATAAGGGTCTTATCCAGTCCAGCCTTTTTTTTTTTTTTTTTAAGATTTACTTATTCATTTGCAAGTCAGAGTTACAGAGGAGAGGCAGAGGCAGGGAGAGACAGAAATCATCCACCTGCTGGTTCACTCCCCGAATAATGGCCACAAAGGCTGAAACTGAGCCGATCTGAAGCCAAGAGCTTCTTCTGGGTCTCCCATTAGGTTGCAGGGGTCTAAGCACTTGGGCCATCTTCCGCTGCTTTCCTAGGCTATAAGCAGGGAGCTGGATTGGAAGTGGAGCAGCTGGGACTTGAACCAGTGTCCATATGGCGAGCTGGTGCTGCAGGCGGTGGCTTTACCCGCTAAGCCACAGTGCCAGTGCCCAGTCCAGCCCCTTTTTACTCTGAGCTTTATTCATCATATAAGCAAGAATGGCCAATAAAAGAACAGTCTTCAAAGAAGAGCAAAATTCAGAGGGAACTTAAAGTTTATATTTTCCACCTCTCAGAGCTGTTGCTTCATTAGTGTTATGATTTGAACAGGATTTTGTTCCCCACACTCACAGATGTTTAAACCCTAAAGTCTTACATTAATGGTTAACAGAGTAATGGTTGATATTAAGGGTAGATGCTTGGTTCAATTATGGGTTCTTATTTGATTATGAAATCTTTCCAACATGGACAGTGAAACCCTAATCGATTCATGCTGGCTTTATGAGAAGAGGCAACAAGGATGGTATCTGAAGAACAGCTCCCAGGTTCCAGGCTTGTCATATGATCCTTGCTCCTCCTGTGTTTTGCCCTCTTCAGATGCCAGACTATGAGACTGCCTGATTTTTAACTATGAAACTCCAAAACTGTAAGCCGAAATGAACTTTATGGCTTCCTAAGTATTTTAACTTCCTAAGTACTGGAGTACTGAAAAGCTGACTAATACAATTAGCTAACCTAACTACCCAAGTTAAACAATTACATAGCTTTATGAAGAAGAAAGAAATAGCCACATAGAACTGGGTTCCATGAGACATTCAGTCATCTACTTGTCATTAAATTGGGATTGTTTTTGAAATTTATCAAATTGTCCAAAATTTACATTATATAATTCCTATATGTAATTATGCAGTGTGCATCAATAACAAAAGAAATATACATACTGGTAGGTAGACAAGTAAAAGTCAAGAATTAAAAACCGGGGCCAGCTTTGTGGCACAGCAGATAAAGTCACCACCTGGGATACTGGAATCCTGGCTAGCTCCACTTCTGATCCAGCTCCCTGCTAATACACCTGGGAAAGCAGTGGAAGATGGCCCAAGTGCTTGGGCCCCTGCACTCATGTGGGAGACCTGGAAGAAGCTCCTGGCTTCAGCCTGGCCCAGCCCAGACCATTGCAGCCATCTGGGGAGTGAACCAGTGGATGGAAGATCTCTGCCTCTCCCTTTCTGCCTTTCAAATATATAAAATAAATCTTAAGAAGAAGAAAAAATAACCATGAGCCTAGTTAAAAAGTTACATTGCAATTGTATGCTACTCCACAATTTTTATTCTTCCAAAATTCTGAAAACCTTTCTAAGAAGGATACTGCATAGTTATGTAAAATAAAGTACTTGTGAAATCTGTGAGGAAGAAAGGAAAATGAAAGCAAAGTCCCAAAAGGAAGGGAAAACACACAATCCAGGCTGTGCTCAGGCCATCACAGTCAACCTCTGATGCCATACACAGCAGTTCCTTCAGAGGGGGCAGGCATTCAGCCCACTGGTTAAGATGCCCATGTCCCACATGGGAATACCTAAGTTCAATTCCCAGCTCCGGCTCTTGATTCCAGCTTCCCGCTAATGCAGACGCAAAAAGGTAGAGAAAACCTGCTCCAGTAATTGGGTTCGTACCACACTAGATTTAGACCTGGGTTGATTCACAATTTCCTTGTTTCAGCCCCAGCTATTGTGGGCATTTGGAAAGTCAGCCAGCAGATGAGAGAGGATGTCATAGTTTGTTTATGTGAGAGGCAGCAAATGGGCAAATATACAATAACATTTGTGGGGGATGTCACTGTGGCATAGTGACATAGCCACTGCCTGCAATGCCAGCATCCCATATGGGCGGGCTTTTCCATTTCCAATCCAGCTCCTTGCTGGGGTGCCGGGGAAAGCAGCAGAAGATGGCACAAGTATTTGGGCCCCTGCACCCACATTGGAGACCCACATGAAGCTCCTGGCTTCTGCCTGGCCCAGCCCTGGCCACTGTAGCATTTGGGAAGTCAATCAGCAAATGGAAGATCTGTCTCTCCCTCTCTCTCTCTGTAACACTGACTTTCAAATAAATAAATAAATCTTTAAAAATAAAATTTTTGAAGAAGTGTTTCTTGTGGAAAATTGATAGAAGAAAAAATTATCAAGTATATTTATTGGAAACTGTGGGTAATAAGGAATTGGAAAATAAAAAAAGTGACCTCTGCTTAAGCTAAGAGATTATGAGTCAGTCTGATCTGGGGACTTGACTTTGCTGACTTTCAAAGGAAGAAGAAATGGGCAGATTAATTCTCACACAGGCATTTGTATGAGCATGGCATGAGCCAGAGCCTGTAGTGTCAGCACTTGTAGGAGTTAGAGGCAGGATGGTTCTCTCTTCACCTGTGTGCTTAAATTTAATTCAACCTGGGAGTTTAAAACAACCACTACATTGCCAACATTCTGCCCTCAAACTATGACTATTCCAATAGTAAACAGCTCTTATCTATTTACTTAAATACATACCAGGTTCCATAAGAGAACAGTTTCTCTTGCCTCTCTCAGTGGGTTCTATATACAAATGAAGGAAACAAAACCAATTTTGCAAAAAAAAAAAAAAATACACATAACACCTTTTTTAATCAGTCATACTTAAATCAGTGTATCCAAAAAGTATGATTGTTCATTAATAGGAATAACGAAAAACACTAACATATATCCATTATTGCATGTTGTAAAAACACAAATCACAAAAGTATGATCACTCAATTTGATTGTGGTCTCTGTAATGGAAAAAATTCAACTATAAACCTGCTAGAAAAATTCTTTACAATGTTTCTTTTAGTATTAGAGCCAAAGTAAATTAAAGTTTGAAATAAAAATGCTTTCTGTTTTGTTTTCTACTCAGGAATAATGGAAGATGGGTATACTGAATATACAGAGATAAATGAGTGTTTATTTTCAGTTGACTAAAGTCACATTCATAAAATAATATTATAGAGACATATAAAATGTAGGTTTCCCACTTGGATTTAAATCAGATGTAATGAATGTGTAACTAATTTTAGAGCCCAACCCTTTTATCTATTATGGGAAGCATGGAATCTTAAAAATTGATCAGCTTAGGTGGTTTCCTATTAGTTCAAGATGTTTAATTTTGTTCTAAGTCCTGAAGCTTGGTCAAACTATCATACAGTGCACCTCTTACTTCATTAGAATGCATGGCTACTTTAGGAAGGAGAGGAGATGGATTCAGTCTTTGCTTATTAGAGGGCATGAACAGATGCTTTGCTTAATCTCATTAGGAAAATAATATTTTGTTCAGTTTGGCCAATCCTCATTCTGACACATTGGAGAAATGCACTAGCACATAAATAGAAGCTCAGATTAGAAAAGACTTGAAAGGTCACCTTGCAAATCCCTTCCAAGTGATTCCTGTGCATAGACTTAGAAGTGCTGGAGATTTCTGATTTGCTATAATGATAAATTATTTAGTTAGCTATATTAATAGAAAAGTGCATTTCTCATTTAAATTAATAAAGAATATTTTCAATACTGCTTAAATATTAAATAATTTTCTGTACTTACAGATATTAATATATTTATTCACTTGAAAATTTACTAAGCATCTATCAGAAGCAATGCCACATAGTTACCTATTTTAACAAATTTTGTTGGAGACACATGGTGAGTTCAAATCACGTATGTTAGAGTCACACAGCCTGGGTTTAGATTCTTTATCTGACATAAATTGGGACTTCGGGCAAGCCATAGTACCACTCTGTGCCTCAGTTTTCTTCCTATAAAATGTGAATTAAAAAATGATACAACGGTAAATCACTCTATGGGTTTAGTAAGAAAAGTTCTAAAAACAGTGCCTGGGTTGCAAAAGAGCTCTGTAAGTATTTACTGTCACTATCATGAATGTTTTTGTTTTGCTTGTCAACACATTTTATAACTTGTCAGTTTACTTCCCCATGTTTTTTAGAGCAGTAGTCTTCAACCAGAGATCTGGCCCTGCAGGAGGGACAATTGGAAAATAAGTCTACAGATATTTTTAGTTGTCAAAGCTGGTTGTATCTGGTGGTATTTTGTGGGTACAGGCCAAGGATACTGCTAAACATTGCATAACATACAAGACAGTTCCCTCACACAACAAAGAATTATCCAGCCTACAGAGTCCTTGATTTAAAAGTTGAGAAACCTTGATTTACAGAAAAAGAACTATGTTGGAAAATTGCAAAGCAAACTCTCGTAACAGCCCCATAGCAGATGATTTAAATGGAAATTTCCTGAACTTCAGTCCCTATGTGTTCTAAGGGTAAAGGCAAGATATGGAATGCATGCACCCCAAAATAGGAAACTCCTCTTTTTAACAAAAGGATTAGAAGTGTCGCTCCCCCTCTTCGTGGAGGAAGGACACAGGACCCTGCCTAGGCTTCATATCTGAGTCACGGCACCATTATGTCGCTCCCCCTCTTCGTGGAGGAACGACACAGGACCCTGCGCTGCTCTTTCGTCTGCTCGGCCCTCCCCGGGTTTGCTGCTGGTTCTTCCCGGGTTGGCTACCGTCCCTTCCACCTCCGTGGAAGGGCGGTTCCCCCTAGCCACTTTCCCCACTTCCGCGGGGGAGCGGCACACCGCCGGCCGGCTCTCTCGGGGGCTGCACAGGTGTTCCTTCAGATAGATGTTCCTCGTGCATGTTGTCTCTCTCCTCCTTTATAGTCCTCTTCCACCAATCCCAACTCTGCTACCCACACGCTGAGTACGCTGCTCTCCTCCAATCAGGAGCAGGTCCTGCTGTTTATTGGTTGAACTGGAGGCAGCTGAGTAGAAGCTGTTTCCTCCTCTCCCAGCCCCATATTGTGGGAGAGCAGATGCATAGAATAAGTCTTAATTCCAGTAACTCAGTCCAGTCCGGGTTGCTCCCCACAAGAAGTACTTAAAACATTCTTTTGTAACAACAACACCAGCAGAAAGAATACAAAATGGTCAGGGACAGGGCAGTGGTCCAAAGAACAGAGGAGTTTAAGAGAGAGAGAGAGAACACACTGTAACACCTTTAGAATTCAAAAGAAAACTGACAGGGCACTTTGTGGAAATTATGCAAAACAAAGATTCATTAACAACACAAGGAAAAGATTCTTCACTTAACTTCATTAGTCACAATAAGAAAAATAAAAATTTCCAGCAAATAAATTGGAAGGTCCCGACAGATGAAACAACACCCTAGTGCCAATGACAGCATTACGCAACATGCAGAGAAATCAGAAAGAAAGCTGGACCAGAATAGTGATCATTCTTTTCTTCATATATGGCTAAGGGTGGCAGTCTACCTACATATTTGCTTCTTCAGTAGGGAGAAGACTCCTCCTAGAGGTATGTCTGGTCATAACAGCTCTTAGTCACTAAACTCCTATTACCTTTTAGGACTACCCTAAGTGCTGTCAACTAAGAGATTACTGGTAACTGGCTAATATGAACTCCTACTACATGTTGATACTTATTAAATCATTAATAGTGAGTATTCCATACATGTATATAAGGAAATCAACTCAATAGCAAGAAAACAACCACATTTTTAACTAGGCAAGGAATATGTACTTTTTTTTATTAAAAAAATCCAAATTGTTTATGGGTATATGAAAAAAAAAAAAGCCCAACCTTGCCAGTCATCATAAATGTGAATCAAAACCATCATGAGATCTCACATCTTTTAGAATGTCTAATATCAAAAGGGCAAAATTTAGTGTTGACAAATATGTGAAGAAAAAGGAAACCTTACACTTAATTGGTGGGAATGTGAATTCATACAGCCATTATGGAAAACAGTATGGAGGTTTTTCAAAAAATTAAACAGTAGAACCATATATCTGATCCAGAAATTCCACTGCTAGGCATAAATCTGAAAGAAATTCAATCAGTATGGTGAAGAGACATCTGCACTTTCATTCATGCCCATTGCAACAGTATTCACCATTACCAAGATATGGAATCAAGATATGGGGCACAATTACCACGATCTGGGACAAGAAAAACATAGGATCCAGAAAAGTATCAATGGAATCCAAAAAAGAAAGTTGCAACATGATAGAGGCTCCTCTGTTGATAACATCACTGGACCCATATTGCATTTCATTGAGTATCACCATACAGTATTCTAAAGTGGGCTTTTCACGAATGACTTTAAGTGACTTTGTTTTACTTGTCCCACACCGGTGTGAACCAGCATGTCTCTCTCCTACTTCAGTTCACAGAGCTTGAAATCTTAGACGCAATTAAACAGGATGGGAGCCTATAAGTAAAAGGCGAAAGATTTATATGATCTGAAGAGAAACCAGAGTATAGGATGGGAGCCTATAATGCAAGGCACGGAGCAGCAGAGGCTGAGGCTGAAGTGACAGGCAGAGGCAGGTCATGGAGAACTTTCCATGGAAATTTATTCCATGTGACCCATGGGCTGTATTAGAAACTACCTTGTGTTTTTAGAGCAATCTGAGCTTTAAAAGGAAAGGCTAGCTGAGATGAAGTTCCAGTAAGGAGATTAAATAACCTCAAGTGATGAGCGATAACTATGGTCTAGACAGCAAAATCACAGAAGGAATGGAAAAGATGATATTGATGGATTAAAGGATGAAATCTTGTGAGTCTCAGTGTTTGTTTGAATGAAGGCAGTGAAGTTGCAAAAGGAATAAAGAATGGCTCCCAGCCTTCTGGCAAGGTACCAGCTAAATGGTCGTGCCATTAACCAGGATAGGAAATACCAGGAAAGTAACGTATCTAATTCCTTCCTCTGATTTTTAAAATCAAGATCAAAGACATGATTAACAAAACAAAACCCTGAAGCATTCTTTCTCACAGATGCCCTCCAAATAGTTTTCTTCTAACATGTGAGATAAAAGAGTTTGCAAAATACTTAAATGGAAAATGATTTTAACATCATGCAATGATTACTGTATCACTGATGAAAATATCTGATCAAGTAAAGTTCTTAAAGGGAATAAGAATATTGAAATATGCACGAGTCCAGGTGAAATGTACAGATAAAGTATCCAGAAAAAATAGCAAATTGATTACAGAAGGCTAGCAGATGCCTATCTGCACGAATTACAGAGGGCAAATCAAAGGAGTAAAAGAATTAGTGTCTTGAAAGAACTAAGACAGCAAACACCCTGAATCTTTGTAGACAGAATAGTAGCACACAAAGTACAACATTGAAGGCCTGGTGAAAAACAGCTGTTCAACAACAGGTAGGAAATAGGCAACTGGATTTTCATGAATTCAAGATGATGAGGTTATGCACTTAATTTTTGCCTTTTATTAACCATGCAGCCTTCAGTGAAAAATACTGAATTTTCTAGGGAAAAAAAAAAAGAATGTATCTAAAATGCTTTCCAATCAGATTGACACTAAATATTAAAACCTCGTGACACTTTTGTTCAGAGAAACATTATCCCAGTACTTTCAAGTCTTGGACTTATAAAAAAAAAGGAGAAAAGTGGGGCATAAGTAGGACAGAGAATGTAAGGGCATGGAACTGATTGTCACTGCAGATGCAACAGTAAAATAATACTGTTAATCAACGTTGCATTTACCTTGCAGAGGATGGCCCATTAATGAGTTTGTTAAAATACCTCAGCATAGGATCCCAGCCCAGTGGGACATAGAACTTGAGTCCCAATAACTACACAGTTATTCAAAGAATTACTAGTTGGAACAGGTGTTGTGACACAGTGGATTAAGTTGCCACTTGTGACACTTAGCATCCCATTTCGGACTGAGTGCTGGTTCAAGTCCTGGCAGCTCCACAGTTCCTGTCGAGCCTCCTGCTAACGTGCAGTGGAAGATGGCCCAAGTTCTTGGACACCTGCCACCATGTGTGAGATCCAGATGGAGTTCCTGGCTCCTAGCATTGGCCTGTGTGGCCTTCTGGGGAGGGAACCAGTGGATGGGAGTGCTCTTTCTATCTCTGTCTCTCTGACTGTTGAACAAATAAAAACTAAGAAAAAAAAAAAAGAGGACATTAAAAAAAAAACAACACAAGGGATGCCAACTGAGAGGTAAAAAGGGTCAGTTTCATACAATGACAGATACCTTTTAGAATATATATATATCAGTAAGACAAATAAGTACACCTGCATTTTAGACAGCAGTTCCATCCATGCCCATCTGTTCAGAGTTCTATCTGAGAGCTTAAAATTTACAAAAGTTAGAGTGGCCAAAAATGAAGCGAGGCAATATAGCTTCTCCATACTTAGTAGTAATAAAGTCGCCAGCAGGGAAAAATGAAATCTGCCATTAGTGAGAACATCACCAGAGCACAAAAGGAAGCATCACAGAAGTACAGCTGTTTTTTTTTTTTTCCTTACAAACAGCTCTTAGTAGAAAGAAAGAAAATTGTTAAAATGTATTTGTAACTTGCCTCCTCACCTAAAATAATTTATGATGGAAAACAAAAGTTTCAGATGCAGACTACATATGCTCATTTAAATGAATACTATTCAAAAGAAAAAGCCTTGGACCCATCAGAAAGTTAAAATGTAAAATAACTTTGTGGGGTTAATATTCACAGAGAAGTTCCCAAGTCCTTAATAATTTTGGAAAACTAAAAAAAACACAAATTAGTCTGTCTTTCCATTTTGCATTGCCACCTCTCTCCTTCCCTATATTTAAATCTTATGGTCCACTTAGGATACAGTTTACGAACATCTTTTTTTCTCAACATTCACTCAAATTCTCATTCAGTCACAGTGTTAAAATATCTATATTTTGGGTCTAGCACTGTGGTATAGATGGTTAAGCCTCTGCCTGCAGTGACGACACCCCAAATTCACTGCCTAGTCTCTGGGAATGGTTCCTTCTGGAGTTATCCTGTGAGGACCTGTTATTCTGCACTCAATTTATTGGAAGCCACTCTTAGCTCTATTTCACAATGTATTGTGAATCCAGCCCCTTCTCTTAATCACCTCTATACCACATAGTTTGAGCTACCATCAGCTCTGTTAGACTGTAAAACTAATTCTCTAATGCGTGTCCCTGTGTCTCTTCTCCCTGTCTCTACCTTCAGTGTGATTTCTACATAACATTGTGAGTAAAGTTTCAAACATGGAAGCTGAGATATCTAAGTAGACTGGACACCTCTGTCCAATTCCTCCAAGATCCAATCACTTGAGTTTGGCCAATAGAGACCAGAGGGTATGTTTCACGCCTCTCTCTCTCCAAACCTATCTTCTGTTATTCACCATCTCACTCTGTTCCAATCATGCTGACATCTTTGTTTCTGTTTCCTCGAACATGTCTAGCGTGTTTCTACATAGGACTTGTCTCTGCAGTCCTCACCTCCTGGAATATTATTTACCTGCCACATTCAGTCTTTCATTCAGTTCTTTACAGATGTCACTTCCTCAGAGAGGTCTTTTATAACTCCACATAAAATTCTCTCAGTCCAATCATTCTTCAATTAATTCTACACCCTGCTTTTATTCTCTACATAGTGATAAGCTCTTCCAGGTAGTTTGTTACATATTTAAGGTTTTGAAAATGATAATCCATCTATTAACAGGTAAAATTACTTTATTAAAGATAGGGTGGCAGACAGAGAAAGTGACATGCACGGAGAGAGAGAGAGAGAGAGAGAGAGAGAGAGAGAGAGAATCTTCCATTCCCCAAATGCCTGTAAGAGCCAAGGCTGGGCCAGGTCTAGGTCAGGAGCCAGGAACTACATCTGCATCTCCCATGTGGGAAGAATCTAGGTCCTTGGGATAGCATCTGCTGCCTTCCATGGTGTGCATTAGAAAGAAGTTGGATTGGAAGTGGAGGCCGGGATCCCAGACACTTTAATATGAGATGTGGGCATCATAAGAAGTGGCTTAACCCACTGTGCCACAATGCCTGGCTCAAGATGTTAACTCACTTAGCCATGACTGTATACGCCATCATCTAAAACTGTCTTTGTACAGGAGAGGGTCAAAATTATTCAAGAGGTAAAAGACTGAATGAATAGCCAACACATCAGCATCCCATGACCTACAAAAAATCCTACTCCCTCTCTTAAGAGTGTTTGGTTGTGCTAAGGAAAGCAGAGGAAACCCACAAATCACCGACAATTGAATGAATATCCCTGTACCAATCCAACGCTGCCAATATTTCTCAATCTAATTTGTAAAGTTATTGCTTCTATGTAGTGTATATGAGATTCTGGGGAAAAAAGCATCAACAGCTGCTAAGGAAGATTTCATCTCTTCCCTCCATACAAACTCTGGCCACAGCTATTGCCATAAAACAAGAGTACCCAGTTAAAAATATTTTATTTTTCCTGAAATCTCTGGTTGAGTGACCTGAGAGAACATGGCCAAAATTCTGAAGGTGCTACCCTTAAAATGTAGAGCCACAATTTTCTGAAAAAAGCCACTGAGAAGTCCTGGAAAAAGTTACAGAGTAAAGCTGGAGGAAGGCAAATTATAAAAAGAAACTTAAAAATAAGAATGTCTGTAATAGTATTACCTGGGAGAACGCTGCAGGTAAAGAGTAGTAATTTTTCCAAGGCCACCTAGAGGTGTCTTCTAAAAATTAGAAGCATGTTCCTTACTTCAGAGAGCAATGACTCAGAGACTAACAACCTCCATCAGCCTCACACCACTTGACACTTAGCAAGTCACTTGTCCTCAGTGCGGAAATGGAGAGGCCTATCAATTGGCTCATGCAGTGGTTGTGAAGGGTGACTAATAAAGCTGCCTGCCAAGTACTCTGACAACATGAAGTGCTATGCAGAGGCTTGATAATTGCTGGGTTGCCATCAGTTACCACCTAAGCATTTTCAGTCCACTTGGCTAATGGGTTTTTTTTTACATTTTATTTTTCATTGCCAAATACTAATTGCATGTATTGATGAGGTATAATGTGAAACATCACATTGGCTAATCTTTTTAAGCACTCCTCCTCCTCTCGGCTCTTTCAGTATTGGTTGGTACTGATGACAACGACAAGTAGGTCAAGATTCTTTGCATTTTCCCTTAAGTCCTGATCTACAGAAAGCATACTGGAGATGGGTAATAGCTATTGCTGTATTTCTTTTTTCAAAACACTTTGCCAATCCCAAGTGAAAACTGTGCTGCATCCATGGCCAACCACAGGCCTTTCCTATCCTTACAATGATTAAACACTAAATATGTGAGAAAGATCATGAGAGATGCAAATATCAACTTCAAGGCAACCACAGATGGGAAAAAATATTTGCAAACTATGCAATCAATAAAGAATTAATAACCAGAATCTACAAAGAGATCAAGAAACTCCGAAACAACAAAACAAACAACCCACTCTAGAGATGGGCCAAGGACCTCAATAGACATTTTTCAAAAGAGGAAATTCAAATGGCCAACAGACACATGAAAAAATGTTCAAAATCACTAGCCATCAGGGAAATGCAAATCAAAACCACAATGAGGTTTCACCTCACCCCAGTGAGAATGGTTATATACAGAAATCTACCAACAACAGATGCTGGCAAGGATGTGGGAAAAAGGGATACTAACCCACTGTCGGTGGGAATGCAAACTGGTAAAAACACTATGGAAGTCAGTTTGGAGATTCCTCAGAAACCTGGATATAGCCCTACCACATGACCCAGCCATCCCATTCCTTGGAATTTACCCAAAGGAAATTTAATTGGTGAATAAAAGAGCTGTCCACACCTCAATGCTTATTGCAGCTCAATTCACAATAGCTAAGACCTGGAATCAACCTAAATGCCCATCAACAGTAGACTGGATAAAGAAATTATGGGATATGTACTCCATAGAATACTATACAGCAGTAAAAAAAATTGAAATCTGGTCATTTGCAACAAAATGAAGGAATCTGGAAAACATCATGCTGAGTGAAATAAGCCAGTCCCAAAGGGACAAATACTATATGCTCTCCCTGATCGGTGACAACTAACTACACACCTAAAAGGAAACCTGTTGAAGTGAAATGGACACCATGAGAAACAATGACTTGATCAGCCCTTGTCCTGACTCTTGATGAACACTTAATATTTTATTTTTCCTTTTAGTATTTTTTTGTTCTACTTAATACCATTGGTTGAACTCTGTAATGAACACACAACTATTCTTAGGTGTTTAAATTTAACTGAAAAGTGATCCCTGTTAAATATGAGTGAGAATAAAAGAGGAGGGGATGTACAATATGGGACATGCTCAATCGGACTTGCCCCAAATGGTAGAGTTAGAAACGTGCCAGGGGATTCCAATCCCATCAAGGTGGCATGTACCAGTGCCATCTCACTACTCCAAGTGATCAATTTCAGTTCATAATTGATCATAATTATAGGATTAAGAGTCTAAAGGATCACATAAACAAGACTAGTCTGCTAATACTAACTGATAGAATAAAAAAGGGAGAGAACGATCCAACATGGGAAGCAGGATACACAGCAGACTCATAGAATGGCAGATGTGCTAAACAGCACTCTGCCCTCAGAATCAGCCCTTAAGGTATTCAGATCCAGCTAAAAAGCCCATGAGAGTTTTGCAGGCATGGAAAGCCAAGACACTCTGGCAAAAAAAAAAAAAAAAAATGACCTAAATGAAAGATCTCTGCGAGTGAGATCCCAGTGGAAAATATGGGCCATCAAAGAAGGAAGGAGGTACCTTTCTCTGAAGGGAGGAGAGAACTTCCACTTTGACTATGGCCTTGTCTAAATAAAAGCAGAGTTGGTGAACTCAAGAGGCTTCCATAGCCTTGGCAGTTCATGACAAGAGCCTTGGGTGATTACTGACGTCATAAATAAGAGGGTCAATTTTTAAATCAACAACAGGAGTCACTGTGCACTTACTCCCCATGTAGGATCTCTGTCCTTAATGTGTTGTACTATGTGAATTAACAGCATAACTAGTACTCAAACAGTACTTTATACTTTGTGTTTCTGTGTGGGTGCAAAGTGTTGAAATCTTTACTTAGTATATACTAAATTGATCTTCTGTATATAAATATATTTGAAAATGAATCTCAATGTGAATGGGATGGGAGAAGGAGTGGGAGATGGGATGTGTTGCCGGTGGGAGGGAGGTTATTGGGGGAAAAATCCACTATAATCCAAAAGTTGTATTTTGGAAATTTATATTTATTATATAAAAGTTATAATAAATAAGAGTTTCAATTGTTAAATCAACAATGGGAGTCATTGTGCACCTGCTCCCCATGTAGGACCTCTGCTTTTAATGTGTTCTACTATGAGAATTAATGGTAAAAGTACTACTCAAACAATACTCTCTACTTTGTGTGTCTGTGTGGGTGCAGTCTGTTGAAATCTTAGTATATACTAAGTTGATTTTCTGTATGTAAATATAATTGAAAATGAGGCATGATGAAGAATGGGATGGGAGAGGGAGTGGGGGATGGGATGGTTGTAGGTGGGATGGAGGTTATGGGAGGAAAAGCCACTATAATTCAAAAGTTGTACTTTGGAAATTTATATTTATTAAATAAAATTTGGGGAAAAAAAAGAAAATATCAACTTCAAGGATCTGAAAAACGCAGAATCACTTAATTCCTATCAGTAATCCCCCACTTCCTCATTCTTTCCTGAAATGCCCTTACTTAAGGAAAACAAGAAATTGACTCCAGAAATGTCTTCCCTCATACACTGATAAATGTGGATTTAGAATTTCACCTGTGAAGTACTGTACAGAAATTCATGTTCTTTCCAAGCTGTCACCCATGTAATATCTATTTTAAAGACAAGCCTGTCCCATGTTATTTTCCTAGCAATCTAAGACATGCAAGAATAGCCAGGACACAAAAGCAATATAATCATTCACTCATTCAAGTGATGCATTTCAGAGAAGTACAAATTTCCTTTCCAATGGTACCACAATGCTGTCTGAGGGAGTATTGTCTTTTCAGGTCAAATGCAAGCATCTCAATCTGCCTAAAATTTTCATCTCAAGAAAAGAATACCTGGCCTCTTTTTCAGCTGTTCCTATGATTCGGCACATTCACATCTCTTTTCTGGTAACTTAGGGCAAATCAGGAGTGATTGGACAAAGCAACTTAAATTACTGAAAAAATATAAAGCAAATACTTACAGGGAAGACTATTTGCGTACAATAAAATCTAAGTGCAAATGAAAATTGAATTAATGATATTAAAGTCCTTTTTTTCCTAAAAGACAAGTAATAGCCCAGAGTAATTGATTAGAAAACATTTGTTGTGTTGAGCAGAGGTAATCACACTATTGCCAGTGTTAAATCCAGCCCACTGCCTGTTTTGTAAATTAAGTTTTACTTGAACAAGGCCAGGCTCATTCATTTAGATGTTCTCTGTGGCTGTTCTCTGCTTTCTCATGCTACAATGGTTGACATGAGTACATGCAATGTCCCATATGCCCAGAAGTCTGAAAATGTTTACTCTCAAGCCCTTGACTTAAACAGGTTTACCAGCTCCTAGTAAAGCTAATGAAGACTGCAGATTGGAATAGTGTGGGATATTTCTGGAGAAGGAAGCAAAGGCTTAAAGGGAAGTTATCATTGAAACAGAAGTGACACGCAGACAAACAAAAATGATTTCCTGAGGAATCATTTGGGGGCTAGAAATGTCCTTAACACTGTTAAAAGATAATAGCTTCTCATTCTAGACAAATCAGTGTTACAGCACTGATATCTCATTGTGAATATCAAAACAGATGGACTTGGAAACTGAACCACCATCCTGACCAATTCCCAATTTCACACAAATGATACCACATCCAGAAAATAAAGACAGTCATGGGGGTCAGGGTCAGGAGAGGAATCAACACCAAGAAGGACCAACTGCAGGGGAAACATCCAGGATCCCAGCTGATCTAATAGATCAGCTTGACTCAGAAACAACCAGGGTGGAACTGGTTACCCAACTGTCTCCATCCCATGTACTCCGTACTAAAGCAGACCCAGCTGCAAGGGTTACAGCTTCTCGGGAAATATCCACACTCCTGTGAGCCAAGTTCTGATCAGAGAAAGAAACTTCATTTCAGGCTTCAACCCCAACATTTAATAGGAGAAAGGGCACAGAAAAATAAAGGAATTGCAAAGTATTCAATGACTTACAGTCATTAAAGACTTGTGGTACTAAAACACACACTGAAAATCCAGTCGGATAAATACCTTTTAAAAGATTTATATAAAATTGATATAAAAAAGTATAATGAGGCAATAATATATTAAAACCAACATAATAACAACATTGAATACCCTCTACTGATTGAAAGTCCTAATGATTAAAAAGTTACTATGACATCATCTATAATCATAAAAATTGAGAACTGCCTTGTCACACTGTCATGACTGAGCTTAGTGAACTCCATCAATATCAACATCGTCAGCAGGTCTCTAAGAGGATAGCAGTTGCCTTTACATTTGCCCTTGGCCATCTACATCCCTTCCTCAAGTGTGAAAAGCTCAGGATAACTAGTTTCCCTGAGAGCATCTTCTCCAAATAAAACCCATGTCCATGAGGCCACAAATGAGCTATCTTCTTCATAGTGACTATTAAATGGTCCAGTCTTAAACTGACCTCTCCCAAGGGGTTTCCAAAGGGCTACTGTCTCTATCTTAACCATTTGTAGAACTTGTGGGCAAAGCACATAAGTTTTGCTGTTTCAGGAATCATATATCAAAAAAGAAGTGGGGTGGAAACTGGAATGGAAGGTGAATGTGATGGTCTCTCCAAAAATAACAAATTTTTAAAGCACAAAGTTGCTAAAGCGCCTATCCCTTTGTCTAAAACTCTGTCAGAAAAATGGCATCTAAATTCTAACTGCAACGTTTGTTAATTTCTGGCACTCAACATTTGTCAGGCATCCAAAAGGATAAAGACCAATCATTTTCACACAATTTAATTATGATCAAATTTAATGTGTGATGATTTACTTCTGAGTGTGCAGTTTAGGTTTTCTTATGAAATTAATAGTTACAGGTTTTAAATTTCCTAGCATATGAAAATATTTAAAGAAAAAATTATCTCTCTTTGACATTAAGACACACCTGCTTTAGGTGTCAAAACCAGCTGATATATCTTGGTGATTAAAAAGCTTCCTTTCTTATAGCCAGCTTTTATGTAAGTCCAGAATGGCTCCCATCTGGCCTGGGTTTATTAGTTATTTGTTATCTGTCAAACGTCAGAACTCCTGCCTTGAATGTTCTTCTGTTGCAAATGTGAGGCATTTCAGGTCATGAATAGACAGTGCTGTATTCTTTTATTTGCTATTCTACATCTGAGTCAGATTTATTTTTCTTTTGGAATCTGTATTTCTCTTCTTCCTAACATAACTGCTAAGAAAAAAAAAACTAAATAAACAAACTAGCAGAAATAATTAATCCAAGGAATCTTACATAAAGAAGTTAGGTGTCTCTTTGTTATGTTGTGTTTTTCTCCTTTGTAAGAATAGTTCAAAAGCTTCTTCTACACCACTAACCTACATTATAGAGGTTACAAACACCTCCAGAGTATAAAAACTTTCACAGAAGGTTTCAATATTTTTGTGTTTCAACTAAACACTCCTGAAATTGCAAGTAGTTGAGATGAGTCAATTTGCATAAAGTACTGTGAAGTTTGAAAACAAGAACTCTCCCAAAAGTATCCAGACTTGGCCACTGCACCCATATCGGGAGTGAACCAGCAGATGAGGTATTCTTTCTCTCTCTCTCTTTCTCTCTCTCATACACACTCACTCGCTCTTCCTTTCATATAAATCCATTTTTTAAAAAAAAAGAAATAGATCATGATCTCGTAGATACATGTGAATGGAGGACATGACATGTTTTCAAAAGGGAGGAACAATTTTGAATAGACTATCTCTTAATGGTAATTATTCCTTCCCACCTCCATACCTGGGCTTACAACTAAAATCCTTGAATAAAGGGGCTGGGACAAGGTAGAATCCAAGTAAGGGTGTGGTAACTGTCTCAGCCTAGAGAATATCAGAGCATGTGGAAGCTCTGATCATAGGCATCATAAGGAATGGCCAAGGCATAACTGGGGCAGCCAGTCAACACCCAAAGGCAGGTTCATATGGGGGAAGCTTGGAAACCCATAGAACTGAACTTCCGTGAGTAGATGGAAATCTGTGTCCTTGAGGAAGGAATAGTACTCAAGTAGATGGAGCCAATGGATAACACATGGCCCCATCTCTATGACTCCAATTTGGGCTGGAACAGCCTGAGGAAACACTACTGTTCAGTAATGCCAAATTTGCCATTGTAAGCTGTGTTTCAAAATATTCCATTGCTTATTGATATAAAAATACGTTGTAGAATTTCTATAATAAATTATAGAATAAACTCATATATTTTCTTAGTAAGCATTATTTGCCAAGCCACTGAAGGCCCTTAAGTAGTAAACAATTGACCAAAGTCTTATTTATTTTAGATGCTGCCCTTCTTCATATTACTTTTCTATGCATGCTTCAGTTAGCATCAGTGCTCAATGGCACTCGACCTAAAAGACAATGTGTAAGAGCTGTGGTAACCTATGACAGCTGGTAATTGTCTCACAGTGAACTCTGACAATTCTTTCCTTCTCCATATCGACAAGAAACTCTAAGAAAGGCTCTGTCCACTTCTTGTTGGCTATTATTTCAGATGCTTTAGTCTACACAATGAATCCAATAAGTCAGATCCTGCTTGAAAAAACATTTTTTCCTCTGTACATTGTTCTTAATGTGTACAAGTGCAGCTGACTTTGATTTATATGCAGTTTCTCTTTTGTTATTCTCCTCAGTCTAGCTACACTACCAAAAAAAACTAATGTGTGCTATCTCATGTCTTTGTCATCCCTTTTTTTGTAGTAAATTATTTTGGCTCATCTCAGAATTGAATTGCAGAAAAATGTGCTACATTCTGAAATAAAGAATACACATTGCTTGAATATAAATTAGAGGAAGATAAAAGTTAATTCTCTTACATTTCCTATATTGGCAATCTCTCTCATCCGAATTTCAAAAATTCCCTCTATGAAATGTCATGCTTCCTTTTGTTGTATACAACCCTTTGAAATGTTTTTAAATGTGATGTCTTTAAAATGTTCACTTTGCTTATGTCTTCAGGAAAGAATATTCTTAAGTGCAGGTGATCTTTAGCTATCATTCTTAACTACTTTTAAAATGGCATTTTCTTCTCAAATACCCATCAACGGCACTGCATTTTCTAAAAATAATGACTATTCATATTTTGAAATGTTGCACTCACAGACTGAATTGAAAGTGCAGCTCAGTGATCCTGGTAGGATACTGCCTCACTGCAGAGATATTAGCACTGCAGTCACTGGGCGCTGACCTGCCATGGTGGCTCTACTGACAGCCAACCTGCACACCCCAGGGGCTCCTCTTCACCAATGGGCAGAACCAGCTCAGCATGGACCCCTTTCTCTATCTATTTTGGAATGGAGAGCCATTCTTTCTAGGGCATAGTAATTTTGCATGGCATATGTCATAGGCTCAAGCTGTTGTTAGCATTTTGGCTCACAGATGTGGATAGGAGGAACAGTACTTGCAAACCAAACTTGGACTTTGCATCAGCCAAGAGAGAAAACTCAGAAGCATTTCATTACAAGTGTGTATACTGTTAGGGACAACTATTACCTTTGTGTTCACTGTACATGATTTTATATGAGTAACTTTTAAAAGCATTAAAGGGACTGCATATCTCATAATACACATTATCTACCAGTGTTTGCACTAGTATATGAGCACACTATTTGTGTATTTGAAATGATAGGAGCTGCAAACCTATATAACCATGACTGTATACTACTTCATAGACTTAATAGCTATCTGATGAAATATTATTAACATTTGAACCCAGAGTGTAGAATAACCCACAATAGACATGAATAGATACTTGTAAATAGAAGGCCTCAAATGATATAAAGTCTTAATTTTAAGGAATTTTAGTATCAAATTTAAAAGTGCACATCTATTTGTACTATTTGTATATCCAGCATTGTACATGAACATTAAATGTTCTCTAGGAAAGCAAAGTCATAGATTTGCAGAGCTGAGTAGAGCATTCCACATCACAGAGAGCTAACAGTGGGCTCCTGGCTTACAGCTATGTAAGGAAAGAGCAGGCCAAGAACCAGTTCTGGAAATCCCTATTCAGTGTTCCTTCTAGCAAATCATAGTAACTCTTTTAATCAAAGTCATTGCTGATTATTTCTGAGTTTCCCAACCATGGCTCTGTTATGTTTTGCTTATTTTTCATACAATGACAGCTTTTGAAATATAATTTCAGGAAGTCTCAAATCACATAGAAATTTATTCACTTAAACTGTCTTATTTTGTCAAAGAACATGGCTAGTTTCCTATATTACATTTATAGTAAGGCAATATAGGTATTGCATTTAATTGATCTATTTTAAATTTGAAATATGTAGACAATTAAGAGGTTCCAAATTTCATTTTAATATGTTATGTTGAGAAACATTCACTTTACTCAAGCTACAGCAAAGAAACTGGACATATAATACTTTTAGATTAAAAAAAAATCCTGTAGTCCTTTGTAAAAACCCTGAACAACCAGAGGAATACAGCTTGGTTTAGATACTTCTTTTCCATCAGGCCAAGAGGTACTGCTCTTCAGCAGGAAATAGAGCTCAAAGACTGGGATCGAAAGGGACTCACAGACCCTCGATGCTTCAATGAAGCCAAGCTGTCAGGACTTACAGCCTTTTGAATATCCATATTTCAATGATATTACATTTAATTGATTCTTATATATATATTTATTTTGTAATAAATTCTAAAATCAAATTTACACTATGTTTTCCACTTTCTGTGAAAATGTTACCTTATCCTCTTTTAGAAAAGGAAGACAGATCTTTAACTTTTAGTTTTTGGTTTTATCTTGGATTTTTCAAAAAGTGAAATCTGGCTAGAAAGCCATTCTACAAGATAATAGTTTCTGTTATAGTTCCGCTTCAAAATTTTCCCAAATAATGCTTGACATTAATTCTCATTCAAATATCTATGATTCTCTTTGATACTTCTAAACAGCAAAACCAGATACTGATATGGTTCTGTGATGCATTCTGTCAAGGGCAAGTAATAAAATCCTATATTTTAAAATATAGTGTTAGAATTATTTATGTACCAAGTGTGGCTAAAAATGCAACATTATTAAATATTAATTATTGATTAAAAAAGTCCCATAAACAATTCACTACTTTTAAATTCAGCAATTATATTATTAATAAAGTTAGGAACTGGCATGTATTTTCCATTTGCATTCCCGTTTCAACTACATTCTCTCATTAGAATAAAGAGTTCTAGGGGCTAGCACTGTGATACCGTGCATTAAGTTGCTGCCTTCAGCACCAGCATCCCGTACCGGTGCCAGTTTGAGCCCCTGCAGCTCCACTTCCCATCCATATCCCTGCTAATGCACCTGGGAAAGGCAGTGGAGAACAGCTCAAGTGCTCAGGTTCTTGCACCTATTTGAGCAGTGAATCAGCAGGTAGAAATCTCTCTCTGCTCTCACTCTGTGTGTGTGTATGTGTGTGTGTGTATCCCTCTTTGTCTCTTTCAAATAAATAAATCTTTAAAAAAAAAAAGTTCATCACATTTCAGATTCTCATACAAGAACTCTCAAGCATGAAATCTCAGAAAAAATGTTATAAATTCCTTCCCTTTCAGTCTCCATCTTTCCTTAGACATTTTGTCTATGAATTTTTCTGTCTTTGATATTTTCTCTGCTATAAATGTTAGCTTTTCCCTTAACCTAGTCTCATTTATTTGCGTTTCCTGGGATAACTTTTCCATATCTACTTATCTCTTCTATTGCATCATAGGCACACCTCCCATGGATCTCCCCTCTAGCCCCTGAAGGCTGTGCTGAACTACACATAAGAACCTTTTTATTTTCTTTAATCAGATAATGTCAACTTGAAGAAAACACTCATCCACAGCACCGTTCATCTAGTGGAGTGCATTTTTCCCCCCAAAAATATGACTCCAGCAGCAACCAACCTTTAATGAATTTAACTATTTTTTTCTATTAATAGTAGCATTCTGCTTCTACACAGGTTATGCAATTAGTATTAGTATTGCTATTCATGGGTATAAAATAATTCTTAGCAAGTAACTCCTTATGAGTGCCTGAATGGTAATTTCTATGCAAGTAACAGTAGAAGAATACACGTGCTGGTTTAGGCATCCTGGAAAGAATACTCTGAGTGTTTTTTTGTGTAACTGTTCCTGATTTTCTTTCCCCCAGCAATTCCAATGCTAAAAAGCCATGTATTTGTGGCCTTGTAAGATAAAACGAATTGGCAAAAACATAATGTCAAAGAATATGAAAAGCAGAAAGAACAAAAACAATGCCTAACTATTTTTATGGCAAAAAAAAAAAAAAAAAAAGGCAAAGAAAAAGCTCCTAAGGGAATCTACACACTGCAGAAGTTCCACCCACTCCCATCTATGCCCAGCCTGATGGCAATTTCTGCATGAGAACCCAGGCGAGGTGAGGGAGCACCTCGGAGCCGTGATGCGGGATCCAGGCTGTGTTGCCATGGAAGTGAGAAGCTTGATTTCCCTAGCTCCTGTGTATCCTTCTTAGCCCTTCTGGCAAGGGTGACAGGCTCTTTTCCTTTGTTCCCAAACGGCTCTGCAAACAGCCCTGCCTCCTTCCCAAGGCACTGAACGACTACATTGTGAGTTCACATTGTGACCAAATTACAGGCAAGCAAGATTTTTCATTTCCATTCCTAAAATTAGCCTCTTTTGTGTGTGCTAGCACAACAGAAATAGAAACATTTGCTGAAAGGGGCCCACTCAGTGGTAATCCCAGGGTCCTGCCTTTCACACAGCACATGGCCTTTCAAACAGCAGAAGCAGAGCACACGGGCAGGAGTAAGACAGCAAAGTTCCAGGTGCCATCATGGCTTCGGAAAACTGGCTCTCAAATGCCAGTCTCAAGAGGTAGGTGGTTTGTTTTGGGGAGGGTCTCTGAAGCACGAAGCAGCTACAGTGCTTGGCCAAGCACATGTTGGTGCCAGAGCATTTGATCAAAGGGAACAGTTTTCTCAATAGGACTTTTAAAAAATGCACTGAATTGACTTTGGAGCTGCAGCAAACTGTGCTAGCCCTCTTCAAGATGCAAAACCCAAAGCCATTATGGGATAGATGAGAATAGTTAAAAGAAGTAATAATCATCTTACCCCAGGGCTAGATCTGAATAATAATAAATATCTTCAAAGGGCAGTATTAGTTATTTGCAATAAAGTCATCAGGTAGATATCCTGTACCTTCCACTTAAAAATATTTTCTAGGGGCCAGCATAGTGGTGTAGCGGGTTAAGCCGCTGCCTGCAATGCTGGCATCCCATATAGGCGCCAGTTCAAGTCTCAGTTGCTCTACTTCTGTTCCAGCTATCTGCTGATGTGTCTGAGAAAGCAGCAGAGGATAGCCCAAGTCCTTGGGTCCCTGCACCAAAGCCAGAGTCTCAGATGAAGCTCTGGGCTTCTGCCTGGCCCAACCCTGGCGGTTGTGGCCATTTAGGGAGTGAACCAATGGATGGAAGCTCTCTTCCCCGCCCTCCTTCCCCCTAATAACTCTGCCTTTCAAATAAAGAAAATAAATGGAAACAAAATACTTCCTAGTTGAATAGAATTCTTAACTGCAATGCAGCACAGAAACATACTGGCTGTAGATTACAAAGTGCTTTTGACCATGAAAAAAGGACAACGAAATGAGTAGAGAAATTTAAATAAGATTTTGAACGTGGCTTTAAAATCACATCTCAACTTTAAAATCACCACTTTGTTCCCTTCAACCACCCACCTCCATTTTACTCTGAACAGAAAAGCCTCTCTAATCAAATTCTATTAAGCATGAATTTTCTATGCAGATATGAGTATTTTGTGTTATGTATAAACTTTAAAGGTCAGTGTTGTGGCGTAGTGGGTTAAGCTGTCTGCAGTGCCGGCATCCCATACAGAAGCCGGCTCCAGCCCTAGCTGCTCCACATCTAATACAGCTCCCTGTTAATGTGCCAGGCAAAGCAGAGGAGGATGGCCCAAGTACTAGGACCCTTGCACCCATGAGGGAGACCAGCAAGAAGCTCCTGTCTCCTGCCTTGGTGGCCATTTGGAGAGTGAACTAGCAGATGGAAGATCTCTCTCTCTCTCTCTCTCTCAACTCTACCTTTAAAAAACTTTAAGATTCAAATTCTTTTGGAAATATGTTGGGGAGAAGACACCCTATAAAATATACAGTTTTTATTTATAAGAGATACTATTGCTTTAAGAAAAATAGAATGTTAATCCCTTTGAAACAGTAATAGAATAAATGTCTAACAAATCTTAAATGGCTAAACAGATCTAATGTTAATTTTCTGGATAAATATTGAAGAAACTGAATTTGACAGTAAGATGAAAACAGATTTAGTGGCTTAATTATCCTGAATTACATTAATGGATGCTGTGACTACTGGAGACACTGCTAGAAAGAATACCAGATCAGCTGATATCTTGGCTTGAGTTCATCCTTAATTAGTTATCTGATCATGACAACACACCTAACCTCTGTTAACCTGATATGTCTTGATTTAAAAGGAAATTGTCCTTATGTGATACGTAAGGTTCTACCCTGCTCTCAAAATCTACAACTCATTATCCAGAGAATGTATTTGTTTTATAAGTGTATATAGAACATAGGTGCATATAAAAACCATAATTTTATACCATAAAGTCACTTATACATGCTACTTATATTATTGTGGGTCACTATTTTTTTTTTTTTTTGACAGGCAGAGTGGACAGTGAGAGAGAGAGACAGAGAGAAAGGTCTTCCTTTGCCGTTGGTTCACCCTCCAATGGCCGCCGTGGCCGGCGCACTGCGGCCAGCGCATCGCACTGATCCAAAGCAAGGAGCCAAGTGCTTCTCCTGGTCTCCCATGCGGGTGCAGGGACCAAGCACTTGGGCCATCCTCCACTGCACTCCCGGGCCTCAGCAGAGAGCTGGCCTGAAAGAGGGGCAACTGGTTCAGAACCCGGTGTGCCGGTGCTGCATGTGGAGGATTAGCCTATTGAGCCGCAGCGCTGGCCACTATTTTTCAATTCAAATGTTATTAACATTTCATACATAGAAACTGGATTTATTTAAATAACAGTCTTCATTTTGGGTTCAGAAGACAATAAACACACACATACTAGAACTGATAGACCAATCTGAACAGTTTTAACATTGTAGATTTCATGAGAGGGTATACGCAATCCTTTGTAATGTTTTTAAATGTTTTCTAAAAACTGTTCACATTAGTTTTTTTGAGCACTCAAAGAACACTCTAACTTATGTGACATTTAAGTACCATTTGTGTCAATTTTTAAAAAGCACATTCTTTTCAAATACTAATAGCTAGCAAATAATACTGCAGTCCCTAAAAATAATAAAACTGTTCTTACTTAGTATACTTGGGAAATGTTGCATTCACAAACTGGATTCAAAGTGCAGCCCAGTGATTCCTGTGGGACATTGCAGTCACCTCAGCAGAGCAAAGCACACTGTACTTGCCACATGCTGACCTGCCTTGGCAGCTCAGCTGACACTCCACCTGCACTTCCTGTGGGCTCCTCTTCACCACTGGGCAGAACCAACTCAATTTGCACCATCTTTCTCCATCTGTTCTTGACTAAAGAGCTCTTCATTTTGGGACTTGATAGCTGTGCATGGGCATAAGGCATAAGGCCTTTGAAGAACCATAAAATAATCAAAATAATCACAAGCATTACACCCTTGTCTTTTATATGGCAAAATTCTGCTTATTATACCCAGTTTTATATACAGAATAAAGGTAAGCATTAAGGAAAGATGGTTGGTCCTTCAGAACAATGCTTTGGGTGCTTCATATAATTAGCCTAAACTATCAATAAAGAACCTGATCACCCACTACTGCAGTAGACATCTGATACACTTAGGATTCCAGTTGCCATCTATATTCTTGTTTCTGTTTATTCTAAGACAAATGGACATATCATTATACGTAAAGCTGGGAGTAAAAAGGATAGCTTTCCAATCAAGGCACAGTGTACAGCTTCTTATAATTAAAAATCAAGTATTCAAATACTGAGGCTAATTTATGCTGGAATGTCAGCTTGTCGCATTGAATTGACCTTGTAAATTAGCTAACATGATGCAGTGAAAAATCATTTCTGCAGGGAAATCACATTATACATCATTTTTAATAGTACTAATATCTAAGAATAAGTTATAGATGGCTCTGTGCAAGCCATCCAAAGTTTTAGCCTTCCATAAAAATTCCATTTATCTATTCCCACTGTTCTAAGATCCATGTATCATGTTCCATCCTAGGGCTCATCTAATAATTTTGTTCATGTCAGTTTGTGTTTACAAAGTAGGTGTATCTGTTGATTCCATCATATCTACCTTAGCTATAAATGAATGAAACACTCCAATTATAGCTATTTATTAAATCTAAAATATAAACTACCCATTTTTAACATCTCTGAGATCAAAAATAATCTGACAAAATATAATTGACAACATTTTTTCCCTTTGTAGTAGCACATATAAGAAAGATGCATCCCACATCAATAACATCTTAACTTACATAAAACCTGATCTTGCTTAGCCATTTCTGAGAGGGAAAAGAAAATGAAACAAGGCATCATTTCTTGATAGCAAAAACAGGAATGCATTTGAAAGCATATAATTGAAGACTTTAAGTGATAAGTTGTTTAATCGCTCCTATTCTTAACTATGCAGGTATTAGGCATTTCAGTTACACATGTATATATCAAAGATAGTTGATTCTTCTGATTGTCCTTCAATACTTTCAGACTTTAAAAATTTTCCTATTTATTTTCATATTTTTATGCCTGATTTTTAATAAGAGGGCACACTTACTGGCATTTCAATGTGGGATGTAAGCCATAATGCCCACTCAGAGGGAAACCAAGAAACATATATTTCTTGTGGGTTTTCTTCTATTTTATTTCTTTGACATTTCAGTTGCCTGATAGGTGGTATAACTATGTATAATTAACTATTTTTTAGCGTTCTTTATAACAGGAAAGAAGGTAGACATTTTCAGTCAAAGGCCCTAGTGAGGTTTACTGTGGACCTAATATAAAAGGCATAAAAAGACAAACATTTTGAAAATAAGGGAACAGTAAACAAGAACAAAGAACAAAAATTCCTACTACTAGTATTTTATTATGTGATGTAAATAACCCCTTGTGTCACCTTGAATTTTAACATATGTACAGTTTTGAGGAAGGAGACTAGGTTCATTTAATTTCATGATTTCTAGGCAATTTATTGGGCAATGGGAAAAAGAAAAAAGCATTCTTACACACAGGAAATGATAGCCCAAATCATCATTAATGAACATGGGTAGTTTAAAAAAAAAAAAAAGATTGAAAAGAACTCTAGTGTCTTTCCAAAGAATATTTACCTTAATGTTTTAATCTCACCTCTTGAAATATAACTAGTCTGTCTGTATTTAAACTACTGTTTACTAGTTTTTTAGATGGTGACTTTACATTAGCTAGTTAAAAGATAAAAGTCATTGCCAGAATGTGGAAAGAATGAACACTAGTGACTAACTGTTCAGAAAACCCCTTTGTATAAAATATATAATACATTATTATGTGCATGCCATAAAGGAAACTAATAAAATCATTAGATTTGTTCAACTATTCAAAACATTTTCTGAAAACTACTACCTTAAAAAGCCCATCATTTTCACCAATGTAACAGAATACAAAAACCATCTTTGAAATGAAATATATGATAATACATTAAATATCCCAGAAAAGGTGCCATTTTACACTCAGAGAAAACAAATCAAGTCCCAAAGTAAAAACTGTCAATTGCTGATATCACTGTATTACACTGAAGGAATTCCATTATACCACAAAGAATACTAGGAATTACTAATTTTAATTAAATTTGAAACTTTCAAACTACCTACAACGTTACCTAGCTCATAAATTAACAAGTTTTCCATGTAAATGAGACCCTTTTCTATATCCACCAACTACACATTTGATGTATGTGAGTGATGACATGGAAGTATCTTCATTTTTAAACCCCTTTGAGTTCTTCTGTCTTTCTTTTAAACTTACTTCACATTCTTATTTTGGACAACTGAACCCTTCAGTGTAAACTTAGAAATCTGGGTAATATGATGGCTATCATGGAACATAATCACACTATACATTGATGAATGGCTGTTAACAAAATGATTTTGAACACTTAAAGGAGAAATGTCACTGAGACTTTAAATTCCAAATAAAATGCTACAACTCAAATGATACTGACTAGCTATGAGCTTCTGGAAGTCACCCACCTGGGGCAGCATGCGATTCTCTTCCTCCAGCTGTCTTACTCTTGCCTCCAGCTGCCTAACATAGGACAAGGTTGATTCTAAAATTGAAAAGAAAGAACTCACATTATCCACACATCTCTTATTTGGTGAACTCTCAAGGGCATTTCTGGTTTGACATATTCAAATTAGGTAGTGACTACATACTATTACTTAAGAAAAACAAAGTAGTAACCACCCTCCCCTCTCCCCGAAAAACAAGAACAGAAACCATTGAAACTACAGTTTTGAACAATCATACAGTATTAATAAGTATCAGAGAAGTTTATAGGAGGTAAAACTGTAGGCTTTTACACACTCAACCAGCTTTCAGAACATTAGGTATCATGAGGACAATGTTTCCCTCTTTCCTCCTTATGTTGGACTTTGTGAATTTTAAATGAGTCATCCCACACACTAGATTTTGTATACACTCTAACCAAAATAAACTACAAGATCCTATTAAAAATAGAATACAAGAAAAACATTTTAAATATTTAGTTACCTTCATTTTCCTCATAAATGTTCCAACTCTTTGCAGTATTTGTTCTCATAATTCTACAGATATTAACTCTAATTCAGAGAACAGCTATGCCAGGGCTAACCATTTAGATTTAGGCTGGGTTTTTATCTTGCATGAATGAGACAAAGACCCAGATTTTCCCCAAATCTTTAGATAAACCAGAGGAAGACCTAGAATTTATTTATTTATTTATTTTGACAGGCAGAGTGGACAGTGAGAGAGACAGAGAAAAAGGTCTTCCTTTTCCGTTGGTTCACCCCCCAATGGCTGCTCTGGCTGGTGCACTGCGGCCGGCGCACCGCACTGATCTGAAGCCAGGAGCCAGGTGCCTCCTCCTGGTCTCCCATGCAGGTGCAGGGCCCAAGGACTTGGGCCATCCTCCACTGCACTCCCGGGCCATAGCAGAGAGCTGGACTGGAAGAGGAGCAACCAGGACAGAATCCGGCGCCCCGACCGGGACTAGAACCCGGGGTGCCGGCGCCACAGGCAGAGGATTAGCCTATTGAGCCGCGGCACCGGCCTGTAGAATTTATTCTTGTTTTTATTTTTTCAGAAGCTCACACATGTGCTGAAAGTCAAATATCACCATCATGATCAGTTTCTTTTCCATACCCAGTCTCAACTTTATAATTTTCTGTCATAAAAAAATGATCATGGATAGAAGAAAGTAGAGTTTCATTTTGGGAACAATCTGATAGCAGCTATGTGCATCCAAGTGCATCACACAGCAACATAGGGGCAACTAATTCATTACCCAAGGACAAACGTATTTCAGGTATAATGAAAGGTACATGGCAGTAGAATTTCTCAGAACATATTTCCATGGTTAGCATTACCGCAGCAGAACTTTGTGTTCATGCTCCTTAGCCTCAGAAACACAAAAGCAAAAGGCATGATGGTAGTGTTCAAGATAAAAGTATTTAGAGCCCTTAACAATTCAAGTTAGGATGGGATATTGATGCAAATTAATATCTGCACCTGATATTAATCATGCAAAAATTATTTTGTTATTCTTACATGGAAATTGTTTAGGTGAATGCAAATTCCATTTTTGTGACTTCTAAAGCAACAAATTAACTTTCTATACTCTAAAATATGTAAGTACCAGTCCTTAATTCATAAATGGAACAGTTAAGCTCATCCCTGACTAGTTTACAGCATGCCTGTTTTCATAAAAGGTTTGCAGAAAGCCCTTCACTGTCATTAATAAGGACACAGTAACCTCACATGAATGGGATTAGCCTTGAGCATCCCTCATTTAAGAAGATAGAATCACAAGGTAAAGGAAACTGAAGACATTTGCAGAGACCTGCTTTCATTTTTTCAGCATAGTCAAATGTTAAAACTACTTTATAGACTCTTTCAAAGGGAAAAAAAAAGCACATAACAAAATTATCAATTTCATGATTCTATGTTTCTCTAGCAAATGAATAAGTGATTTGCAGTTCATCAAGATATGAATGTAGATTGCCTGATTTACAAGTCTTGTCAGCCCTAGTCTCTCTAGAAAAACAACCACTTCATAAGTGCTGCCCAAATGAAAAGTGGATCGGCAATATTTTAATTAAACCACACACAAAAAAGTATTTTCTCCTTTGTTCACAACTAACACGTTATCATTTATTATCCCTATACTGCACTGACTCTGAGGCTGTAACACTTAAAATGGCTGAAAGGGCTATACAGAATGATTCAGGTAATATAAAAGTGCCACAGATTAAAATTTGTTGTGAATCAGTGACTATCTCCAGCACTGTAATTTGTTTCTCTTTTAAATGTTTGAAGTTTACATATTTGGTGCTATCACTAAGATTCTTCCCTAAATTATGAAAATAGCTCAAGAAAAAAAGGGGAAAATTCCTGACTTTGGAAAATATTTCCCAACTCCCATTTTTAATGTTGGACTGTAAAAGATCAAGTCCAAATCTTTATTCCAAATCATTTACTACAAACATGGGCTGGGCCAGGAAGAGATTTAAAAACAGAACAAAACAAAATGAACAGGCAGTGAAGATAAAGTTAAGGAAGTTTGGAGCTCATTCATTCAACAAATAAATATTATGTCACCATTTTGTGTCAAACACTGTCCTGGGATTGGGAGGAAGAGAAGGCCAGTTGTCCTAAGTATTAACAACATTCTCAGAATATAAATTCCCTTTTAGTATTACAAACTCAAGTACTATGTTCCAGAAGGTCCCACTAATTGCTGCAAGCTCTTACCTCTGTTGCAATTATTGCCTAACAATTAACAGACATCTCAAATTAACAGTACTCTCCTAGGAGAAACAAAATGGGAGGAATTACAGGCCAGGATCATGGCTTAGCTGGTAAAGACACCACCTGCAATGCTAGCATCCTCTCTGGATGCAAGTTCATGTCCCGGTTATTCCACTTCTGGCCCAGCTCCCTGCATATGGTTGGAAAAGCATTGGAAGATGGCCCAAGTGTTTGGGCCCTTGCTAGCCACATGGGAGACATAGAAGACTGCTGGCTTCAGCCTGGCCATGCCCTGATCATTGCAGCTATCTTGGGCGTGAACCAGAGGATGGAAAATCACTTTATCTCCCTCGCTCTGTACTTTTTCAAATTAAAATAAATTTCAAAAAAAAAAAGGTCGAAAGAATTCCTGAAGTATAAGTAAGAATATTCAGGCTGTTACTGGGTTCAGTGAGGAATTGCATTGTCCTTTACTTGAAATGGAGTAGAAAACACTTCTCTGGAATGTACTGTTTGATCAGCACTGGATTCCTGAATCTATATACAAAGAGCTAAAAAAAAAAAAAAAAAAAAAAAAAAACCTCACCAGCTATACCATGAAAGAAAAATATGTGTTGTTGGGTTTTCATGGTTGAATTGTTACTGTACTATACATTGTTTGAGCCTGACTAGGATTACATAACTATTAATGGGATAGAAAATGAGTATATGATTTTTAAATAACATGGAATAGGATTGAGTACAAAAACTCCACACTTTGAAAACAGTTACGTCACAATCCATATCCCAGTCCTAAAAGATCACTAGAAATAACTGGGTAGAATCTTCTTACTGAGTAAGACAGAAAACGCCACTGAGGTCCTGGAACACGTGAGTATTTGACCACATCTGCTCAATGCTGCTTTTTATTCTTCCTTTTTAATTCCTATCTCCAGGGTGTCAGCTAGAAAATAATCCATTCTCTCATAACAAGCAGGGAACACAAGGGCATCTAGACATTGATCTACGAGAAGTATGTGACAAAACTTGGCATGCTTCTTACCATAAGATTGCACAGGGATGTGCTGTTATTTTAACTGACCATTACCTATTGTGCATGTGGCTGCCAAGTTTATAAAAATGAGATTTCAGGATCCCATTTCAGCTTCCAGAATTCTGAGAATCAAGTTCCAGAAGAATACCAACACTAGCCAAATTCTTTGCTGTTAAGCACACAAATACATACTGTGTATCTGAGGATGACTATCTTCAAGAAATACAGAACTAGTTGCAGGGAAGTAAGAGGGGAAATTTTTTTTTTTTTTTTGACAGGCAGAGTGGACAATGAGAGAGAGAGAGACAGAGAGAAAGGTCTTCCTTTGCCATTGGTTCACCCTCCAATGGCCGCCGCGGCCGGCGGACTGCGGCCGGTGCACCACGCTGATCCGATGGCAGGAGCCAGGTGCTTATCCTGGTCTCCCATTGGGTGCAGGGCCCAAGTACTTGGGCCATCCTCCACTGCACTCCCGGGCCACAGCAGAGAGCTGGCCTGGAAGAGGGGCAACCGGGACAGAATCCGGCGCCCCGACCGGGACTAGAACCTGGGGTGCCGGCGCCGCTAGGCGGAGGATTAGCCTAGTGAGCCGTGGCGCCAGCCGGGAAAAAGTTTTAAATCCAGTACGATAATATGAAATTCAATGCTAAATCATATGTAACATGAAAAAAGGAAGAGACCAGAATTAATTGTAGTTCTTATGAAAGAGAAACTCAAGTTTAAAATGGATCAACAGAATTTTGATAGGCTAGAGAAATACTACTGGTGCCATAGAACAGACAAGGCCCAGAAGCCAAGAATGACCCTACTGTGAACAGAGACGGGGGAAAGGAAGATCTGATGGAAGAGAAAGGGACTTGCTAAGGTCACAGGAGCAAAGCTGAGTTTGTGTCCCACAATCACAGATCCGCACAAGCCAACTTCAAATCCCAGTCCTCCAGGTGGAAACTGGCGCTTTTCACCTCTTTGAAAGGTATTTCATTGCTCTTTCCACCCTGGAAACTAGACATTAGAAAGGCACTGTGAAACAAACAATGTCAATATGGAAATACAAGGACATTCTCAAGATGTTCTTTGAGTAAACTTTGGGCACATTTTCAAAGCAGAAACCACTTAGCTACACACACCTTTTTCTTTCACTTTACACATAGAAGTTCATAGCACTAGCTGCAATTACGCAAGCATAAGGAACATGCACAGGATTTTTGCTAAATACTGCATCTTCTGAAGAATTCCAATTTTAGGGGTGAAATGTGCCTTAGGGTTTTGGTAATCCAACTTGTCCCCCA